CAGAGAGTTTGGTTATTTTCTAAATACAACAGCTTCTCCCTTTGCAACCAGGGGAAAGATTTCTTGGCGGCAATTCATTTTGACTGAGCCCGACCACCTCTTCGGTAGATTGTTCTGATTTCCTTCTTATTCTCCAGATTTTTATTTGTATAGTCTTACACATTGACGGATCAAATTTTTTGTTGTTCTTTTTGTTAGTTGAGCTCTTTTTGTTCTTCTCACATGTACTTAGTTTCATTTAATAAAATGGGCCTTGTCCTCAATTTTACCCCAAAAAAAAAAAACTTTGAAATATCAAAATAATAAGATAATATTATTTTTAAATAGAGTGAAAACCACCTATTTTTTATTTTTAATCTCTCCCTTTTCCATATATAGTAATTTATTAAAAAAAAAAAAAGGCATCACTACTAAGTACTAAGTGCTAAAGCAATCATTTTAAACTTGTTGGAAAACAAGCATGCCTAAAGTTTGCCCACTAAACCGACCCAAAAGCAGACCACACCTTTTCCACCTCAAAAAAGGCAATCTTCCAAATCTACCAATGAGAGTTCGTTAGAGATAAAAAGGGCTGCTGCAAAATAAACGAGGAAATTTGATCCTTTAACGAGCTCATCTGCTCAGCTCGTAAGTTCCTCTTTTAATTTAAAATATTAAATATATTTAAATTTAATTTTATTAATATTATATAATATATTTTATTTTTATTATTATTTATATGGATTTATGTTTTCAATATTAAAAGTGATCGACTTCAAACTAATCTTTGGTGTAATATTGATACGCCCAGCCCAGTCGGTTGACCCTACCCGGGCCGAACCAGCCATGTGGCTGGGCGGAACCAAGGGCAGCAGGAGGGGGAAGTTTGGTTCTTCTTGTAGGATCCAAGGGAGCTATTATTCATTATGTAAGGAGGAATTAAAGGGGAATAGGAAGGTTTTAATTTTGGAAAAGATGGCTGATTTGAATTAGGAAATGTTTTATTCAGGGAAAGAGTGCTGATTTGGATTCCGATTTGGGAGGGAAGTAGGAAGGATTATATTAGGGTTAATTGTTGTTTTACTTTCATTTTGAGATTGTGTTTGCTGTAGTTCTTTTTTGAAGTTGTTTCTAATGCTGGCTAGGTTTTGTGGGAGAGCCGATCTAGCTCTTACATTATAGATCAATTGCATCTTTCGTTATTGTTGGAGGAGTAATAAAAAATCATCCCCCATACCTGTGTTATTGCAATTTCTTCTTATCTAATTTGTTATTTTTGCTTCCAAGTCGCTTCAAATACTATGATTGGAAAGACTATGGCAACTATTGGAACCCATAGGTGATATAGAAGGAAGTATAGAACCATGGGCTTATGGTTGAAAGGAATGGTTGCTAAAGAGGAAATCCATGACATGATTTTGGTGTGAAAGGCATATTTGGATGTTTTGGATTTATAGCTAGGCATATTTGTATAAAGTGTAAAGGTTCTCCTATGCATACAACTGATGGGGACATCAGATCATGGAAGGTTTATCAGAGGCATGGCCGCCGATATACGACCACGATTGAGTCATTGTACTTTTGATTTATTTTATGTATTTTCTTATGTCGTTGTATTTGTTTTATTTAATTTCCCGTTTTACCCTTTTATTAAGGGATATTGTATGTAAGCCCTGAGGGCATTTTCGTCTTTTCTACTTTGAGTCCTATGTACGTCTCTTTCGAAGGGAATGAATGATCAAATAAAATTTTCGTTTCTCTTGTTTGACTTCTCATGAGAGCTTGAGAGTTTGGAGTGAGACCCCTAGGAGAGGGAGGATTGCGCAACACCCACCAACCTAGAGGAGTCGGGTTCGTGGTTTCTTTCATATCTCTTTCTTTTCCCCCTCCCACCACCACCACCGGCCATCATCACACCAAAGACCTTCTCCCTCCCCAAGCCCTTTCCCCTTGCTCGACCGAGCTCCACTTGCACCCACCCAGCCACCGGCCCCCATACCCGAATCCAATCAACCCGCCGGCCTTAGTCCCCCTTTTCTCTTTGATTTCCATTGCCTAATTTGGACAGAATTTGAATTCATTCAATTTGAAATTTAAAATCTTTCTTAAATTATAAAATCTATTTTAGAAAAGTTTCTAAATTAATCCTATTTGAATTTCAAAATCAAATTGGATTTAATTTAAATCTTTCATAATCTCTAAACCCCAAATAAGAAACCCCCAATCCCTTCCCCCAATCACCCCCCCCCCTTTTCTTCTTTTAATCAGTCCCAATCAAGAGGCCAATTAGGAAGTGTTGAACTTGAATTCCCTCCACCTCTTTTTCCCAAAATCTGAACTCAAAACCTTAACCTTGTTCTCCTCCCTAGACCGGCCACCTCTTCTTCATCCTCACTTCAAAGAGAAGAGAAACATTTTTTTTTTCTCTTCAACGGAGTTCAAGATGACTAGTAATCTTTGGGAAGAAATCGTCATCTAGCATCCATGAATGGCCGACCCCGAAACTGATTACGGACTTGTCTACGACGAACACGGTTCGTGCACATTCTTCATTCAACCTTCTTCGACGTCAACCCGAGGATCGGTCACACGGTGGAGGACCACGTAGAACGCATCTTATACACTTTAGTTGAAGCTATCGAAGAGCAATTGGAGATCGTCGAGTGGAGGATTGCCGTCAATCCTTAACGAAGGTTTTCTATTCCTCATTTTCTCATATTTCTTAAGTCTAACCTCTCTTGTGATTTAATTGTAGTCACGAAGGACGCATTCACCTGATTCTGCAAAGCTTAGTAAACATAAGAATTTGAGTACATTCATTTTTTACTAACATTATTGTTAGACTAGGAATTTTGTTGAAAACTACTACTTGGGCAATAATGTTTATTTTCTACGATATTATGAAGATTCAAATCTTTTGGATGTGGAACTTAGCCTAAACGAAAGTGACACCTCTTACGTTTTGATTCGTTGTTTTATTTTCTAAAAGTTTCTTTGTTATTTCTCTAATCAAGAATTTATGCAAGTTGTTATTAAAATCATTTGCAAGCATCGTAGTTCTATGCTTACATCACTTTCTTACTACTTTGTAAAGCTACTTTTTAGAAACAAAAATCTCTTTAAAAAAAAAAATAGGGGTCCAAAATTGTCCTAAACGAAGCCTCATTACAGTTCAATTTTGCTGTTAGTTTTGTGTTGTTTTTTTAAAAATCTCTCTACTAGAAGCTTGTTGTTCACAATGATTTAAAAATTTATTTATTTTATAATAATTTTATAATCATCTTTACAAAAAGTTGTAGCAATCTAAAATAGGTCATGATCATTCTCAATAGCAGAGTCTTCTCATGTAGAAAGCATATCATGGTGCTCATCTTGATCTATTGGTTAGGAGCTTTTGCTTCCAATCAAGAGTTATTGTGTTCGTAGTTTGTGTATGCAATGTGTGTATGAATTTGTATTAATTAAACTAAATATAAAATAAAAAAAGTTAAAGCATATCTTTTTTATTTTATTGAAATGAGAATAACATAGAGTAAAATGAATTCATCTCGAAAAAGATTTGAAAGTTATTCAAAAAGATAAGCCCTATAATTTGGAATAAAGCGAACTAACTTTATTAATCAATATATAATAGCCCATAGTATATTGTGATCATTCCCACAATTAATGATATAAATATGTTAGCATTTTCATTTTAAAATAAGCATACTTTAAAGAAGCATATTTAAGATTGGAAAAATTATTATGTACGGTCCTCGAACGGCCTCCAGAGGAGAATGATAACGCGTCACATCAATTTTTTATTATGTATCACTGATGTGTACCGCTCGGTACTAATGACACGACGCATTCTAATTCGACTATGAATCATTCTGTGATCACACAGAATAATTTCTTCTAAATTTGAGAACTACATACTCGTCTTCTTAAATTGTTCAACAATCAATTAAGAGATTTTGAATTATACAATTATATTCTTAAAATAGTCTTCCATCCCTCAACAGTAGTCTCAGTTATTTTAGCTGGAGCATTAGTGGTTGAGAGACTGACAGAGAGAAAGCAAAAACAAGGCCTTTTGGTCCCTCAGCGAGCAAAAGCCAGCGGAGAAAGCTATCAACAGTGTGATTCTGACGCTGAGACCTGAGACAGCAGCAGCAAAAGCCAAACTGCTGCTGCTGCTCTGTAAGTGATAAGCCCAGCAGACCACTGTTACAGGCTTCGACGCTAACCTGCGCACTTCTGACACTTTCAGTTTCAAAAGAAGGATACTGTACATTACTGATAATTTCACACCAATTTCTCATCAGTTCAGTCTCCCTCACTCCAAAAATTTATTAAGTTGTTTCCTGGATATAAATTATAATAAGGTAATTAATGCTGAAAATTAAAAGCTTATGTAGCATTAATTTTAAAATATTTTTAATAATTTTTAATTTATTATTCATAAATTTTATTAATTGAATTATAAAATTGGCTATTTATGCTATCTAGACATCTTTTGAAATAACTTTTTTATTATTAAAAATTTTTAAACTAAAAATTTGTATTAAAAATTTATTTAGAAAACTTTCCAAACGGAGCCTTTATTAAAGTAATTTTCTAATTAAAAACTTTTATTTGAAATTTTAAAATAAATATTTTAATTACGTTCCAAATGATATTATTATTCAAATTTTAATTAATAAATTTGTAATTATTTTCTTTTTGTAAATAGAGATAAAATATATAGGTTGGAAAATTAATTTTAAACATTATCATTATTGTAAATAAATAAATAAAAGTTTATTATACACAGAGTATCTCATATAAGATCAAATCTATTAAAAGTAATGTACGTTAATTTAATTTTAGCTTTGAATTTTTCATTAATTAATCGAGTGATCTGAATGGTTTAAGTTTAAGATTTTTAAATTGATTAAGTTCTATTTGAATATTGTAAGAAAAATATTTTTATCTCAATCGAAAAAAAACATTATTTTATCATAGAAACAAATAGTTTAAAAGTCAAATTCAATTTTAGCCCACTTCCTTTATCTGCAAAAGCAGGAGCGCATTGATGAAATGTTACAGAGAAACGAAGTTAAAGCTGAACCACACTCTGATTTCAGCTCATAATCCATCCATCCATACATCCTACAAAAGAAGATTCTGCAGCCCACACTCTGCTCCCTCGCTCAGTGACACTTCCTCTGCGCTCTGCAATTCTCACCATACTTTATCTCAACAAAAGAGCAAAAGCTGTTCCCACTTTCAACCTGCAAAAACTGCTATTTGGCTTACAAACGCAGCCTCAAACAGTCACCTTTCCCGTTCTTTTGATACGGACTAGCTCGTTCATCTCTGAAGAAGAAGAAGAAGATGATGATGATGATGGAAGTTGGAAGGGGAAATGGCAATGTCATCACTGGGAAATCTTTTTGCCCCTTCACTCCTTCTCAGTGGCAAGAACTGGAGGAGCAAGCTATCATGTTCAACTGCATGGCAGTAGGATTGCCAATACCAACTCATCTCCTTCTCTCTCTCAGAAGAAGCAGATACTCTCAACCAAAGCCGGGCTTTTTTCCTCCATACTCTCCTTGTAAGTTTCTTCTTGATTCTTATTTCAACTTTGTTTTCATGAAATTGATTTGGCTGAGCTTGGTTATTGCAGTGGGATGGGGTTGTTTTCAGTTGGGATCAAGCGGGAGAGCAGAGGATCTAGAGCCAGGGAGGTGTAGAAGAACTGATGGGAAGAAGTGGAGATGTTCGAGAGTGGCTTGCCCAGATTCCAAGTACTGTGAAAGGCATCTTCATAGGGGAAAGAATCGTTTGAGGAAGCATAAAGATGCCTCTCTTCAACATGAAAGCTCTGCTGCCTCAGTTCTCCCTTGCTCTCCTCTTTCTCTTCTTCCTCCTATCAGCAAAAGCAAAGACACAGCCTGTAAAGAGCCCAGGTGAGTTAAGGGAAATAATTCCTAATTTAGCAGATATTTGATCTAGTAAATGTTCTAAATTATCTAATAAATTAACTATCTTATTGATTAAAAAAGAATCCCCTTTAAAGCTTTTTTGTTTCTCTCCTTCTCCTTGTCTCTGTTACTGATGAAGAATTCAACAGGTACTTTCATGGAACCTCTGGATTGATTTTCCATCATTGCTCTGTATTGGGTTCAGACTTGAGATTAGAAAGACCTGTGGAGTCTGAGAAGGGAGGAAACCATAAGCCAATTTCTCTTCATTGCTTCTTTGATGAAAGGCCAGAGAAGATTGCAGAGGATGATGGAGCTCGGAGCTCTCAGTGCAAATCACTGAAAAGAGCAGAAGATTTAACCAGTTCTGGATCTGTGATTCCAGAGCCTTTGCCTGTATTACTTGATCTAAATGTTTGATTAGTGCTGTATTTTCATTACTAAATTATTAGTTAGTTTTTCTCTTCAAATTGGAATATTTCTGGGTTTCTTGGGGTGAATAGATTAATCTTTTTGTTTTTGTTTTTCCTTTGGCATGTTCCATTGTTCTGATTTTAGTGCTGAGTTTCATGTGAATATTTTCAGATAGGATTGAAGAGCTAATTTTGCTTTGTTAATGGTTTCCATGTTTTGTTCTAAGCTGATAATAAATGCTTCGCTTTGAACAGCTTTCTTATGACTTTTTAGATCGAAACTATAATTGTTATCTATGCACTGTTTTTTAGCGGTTGAGCAAATTATTGAAAATTGAAGTGGCATTGGGACTGAGATTTTGAATCGGGATTTGAAAATGGCAGGAAGATCTGATTGAATCTTGGTTTTGATAGAGTTTGGATTTGAATTGACAAGCGACTTCATCAAACCCTTGGTGGATAGAACTTTTAGTCGAAATTATTTTGTTTGAAAGACATTTATGCTTTGTTTGGGATGACTTTCTTACTGCTTCTTAAAGCAGTTTTTTAATATAAAATTAAAAGTTATTGTACTGAAAAGTTATTTTAAACTATTTTTTTTCAAACTATGCTCAATGATATGCCAAGCTTAATCTTTAAATTGGAAATTTTGGTACTGTAAAGCTGTTTTGAAAAACAATAAGAAAGCCGCTCCAAATGAGAGAAATTATTCTGTGCGGCATCCGGACCTGAAGAATCATTCGGATATGTGATTGTATACACCATGTACATATTTGTACACAATGTATGTTAAATCAGTGTGTGTACATTCACGATCCAGACGGTTTTTCCCATTTGAATGCGGCATAGAATAAATTCTCCCCAAACAAATTCTCCCCAAACGAAGCCATAAGTTTTCTTCCAAAATGCTAACTTATTGTTAGCATGTCATAAATAAAAGACTTAACTCCAATAAATTCATTTGTTACATGATGTTTAAGTAGGAAGTTTAATACATCCAAAATAGTTGAGTTATGATATCTATATTTTATAATTAATTTAATATCATAGGTACATAAATTCAATTTTCAATTAGATTTTTAAATTAGATAAAACTTGAATTGTGAAATTGAATAGAGTCAAAAAATAATTCAAATATGAAGTTGAATTTTTTAAACTCCTTGTGCTTAACAAAAATCATCCCCATTCAAAATCCCCTCCTACTTGATTCTAATATCATTAACAATATGTAATCTAGTGTTCAATGCACCTACTTTTTCTTAGGATGAACAAGAGCCCAAGAAGATGCTAAAATAAGAGCCTAATCAATACCCATTATGAGAGCTCACCCATGAAAAAAAAGAAATAAAATTAGAAGTTTAATATTTTAATTTCAAATTTAGCATCTAAAATGTTTGACATTTCTTAGAGAATATGTATGGATTAGACATTTAATGGTAATAATATGAATTAATGAAAGCAGTTGGTGCATTTAAAGAAAAAGGATGCTCAGGTGGATGAGTGGATTTACTCTTAGAGACAGGATACGAAACGAGTATATCCGTGAAAAGGTTGGCTCTAGTGACAGATAAGATTAGAGAGAGTCGCCTTAGATGGTTGGTCATACGAAACGACAACCTTCTGATGACCCTATTAGGAGAGTAGATGTATTAGATTTGACCTATGTTAGGAATAGTAGAGATAGACCTAAAAAGACTTGATTAGAAAATATTAGAGATGACCTTTCTCTATTAAATTTAAATGAGAATTTGATTCTTAACAGAACAAAATGGAGAGAAAAGGATTCGTGTAGCAATGGGATAAAAGGCTTGATGTTGTTGTTGTTATTGTTGTAAGAAAATTTAAAGTATTTCTTAAATAATATAAGAATGAGGTAAATATGTGATAAAAGATAAAAAAATATTTATAAAATACAAAATACACATTAGAAATATCTTGTACAAATTTATAATAAAAATGCCATATTTAAATGACTAATTATTTTTGCTCATCATCAAAATTCAAATAATCCACCAAAACTCGTATATTTCCTTCCATAAGAAATTTGATGCTTCAACATAAATTTAAGAAAAGAGAAAATGTAATTACAATAAAATGAAAAATTAATGCAAATAAAACAAACATAAAGCGAACAAATCATCACATTCATCAAATTATAACATTCTGACCTTTAATGCTACTGTATCATCACAGCAATTTTTCTTATAAACCATTATATAATACTCTTTGTTTTATGTCAATACTCTAAATTATACAGATCTACTGCTAAAATAAAAGGCTGGAAGGAGCTCGTTCAGACCTTGAATTTACATTTATAAATTTATGATTGAGAAGTTTGTCAAATTCTTAACTTGTCGAGGTATTGTCCGCTTTCGTTTAATGAACTTACGGTTTTATTCCGTTGATTAACTTTAGCACGAGCACACTTCATTTTTGAATTTCTTCATGAAATTTCAATCATTACACCAGAAGGTTCTTCGATGTTTAACAATTTAGATTATTTTGACTTGAGGGGTTTTACAATCTCTCTCATTCTATTAACTGACATCCTTGTCATTTCACTTGTCCCAAAATCATCCACCAAAATTCTAATGGTGGATCATACGAGTTCAAGTGGTGGCTCCCACCATTTAGCATTTTGTCCCATATCGAATTCAAGAGGTGGTTCCCATGATATAGCTTTTTATCCAATATAACACTAGTTCACATCTTTCAACTAGTATATTGCTCTCATATCACTTTGTAATAGCACATATATCTTTGGAGTTTCTTCTATATATATAACACAAATCTCAGCTTAAATCAACTTTAATCTTATTCAAATCACATCATAATATTTTGAAACAAATTTATTTCATTTTTTATTATAAAATTTTAATGATTTTGTGATTATGAGAATGTGAATTTGAAATATGTGTAAAACATTCTTCTATGATTTTACTTTTGATTAAAGATTTATTTGGTGCTACTTAAAATGATTTTTTAGTACAACAATTAAATTTTTTGTGCTAAAAAACTATTTTAAGAAACAGTATGAAAATAAAGATTGAAAGCACTTTCTTCAAGCCTTCTCCCAGTGCATTTTGAAAATAAAGATTTTTAAGAAGGCTTGATATTTTATTACTAAGAGATCTCTCAGATTCATTTTCTTTCTATTCTCTGATGTCTAGTTAATGAGCTAATTTATGCTTCGTTTGGGAACTGCTTTAAAAAGCAATAAGAAAGTCGTCTCAAACAAAAAGTTTAATCTGATACAGTGCAAGCTAGTTTTATGTAATGGCATATTTTCAGTCAAATATTTCTATAGCTTTAATGCTTCCAATGTTCCAAGTATTATTTTTAATTGAGGGATAATAATGACAAGATGTTTTGCCCTTTTAGTTTAAATTAACAATTTGTGAACCATACGAGATTTTGTGCATTTCCTCATAGATTCTCTAAATCCAAAGCATCCTTCATGAGAAAATCACACCAGATCAAATCTTCTGCCAGAATGAAAGTGGGTTTGTCCCACAGGAGACAAAATAGAGAAGAAATCAACATGGAGAAAGAGAAGCAAGAAAAGCAAACAAAAGCTGTTCTGAAAAAACTATTCAGTGATGATAGAGTTATTAAACTCTTATAGGCATATAATTTTATAGAACTTCTAAGAATATGTATTTGTTAAAGGAGCCAACAATCATCAAGCAGTCAAAAAGCTCTTCTGCAATTCCATTAGCTAAAGTAATAAAGTCAATTCAAATTAAGATTGTAAGAAAGAGTTGAACAATTACTTAGCATTAAACACTTATTATGTTGCAGCACAAGAGAGCTGCTAGTCTCTCACACATCCTTTTCTTCTTCCTGTTTTTCTCACTGGTTTCAATCCTTCCTGCCATTATCCCCTCTTTGCTAAAGGAATTTTGATTTGAATTTCACAGTCATCATAGAATCTTCAGCTCGACCGAATTCTCTTCTTGGTGTCAGACTGAAGTGTGCCAGTGAACCAGTCTCCGTCGGATGAGGACTCCATGGACTTGGTGAAAGAGGAAGAGAGATCACCATAGAGGTCAACCACTCGACGGATATTGTTGTTGAGTTCTCTGATAAGGCCGACATTGCGGCTGAGGTTGTCTGCAACCATGGACTCATGGTTCTTGTTGATTTCATTGATGAGGAGACGATTGTGATCCAGGATGTTCTGTACTTGGACAAAGCTCTTCTGAAAGTTCTGCACTACTTTGTTATCAATCTGGGTTCCATTGCCAAAGCTGGATAATGTATCTCCCTCCATTATTTGGGTACTTTATTTGAGCTCAATCTCAACTAGAATCAGAAATAGAGCTGGAGAGAGACAGAACAGAAACACTTCAAGATAACTTCAGATGTAGGATTTGTTTAGTTCAATGTTATCAGGATAACATTGCCTGCCATTCTGATAAAAGTATCAGATAATGCAATTAGTTAAAATGCTAAATATAACATTTCGGTCTCCCCAGCTCTCTTTCTGAATATAACAAGTATTATATATAAATATTTCTATTTAAAATATCAATAGTTGTGTTGACAAACAATAATATCAACAAAATAAGAACAAAATCAAACTTATCATCAAACCAATAATTAAGAATAATATAATAACAGAAAATAGACAAGAGAAAACCTCCCTAGATGTCATTCTCATATTAAAAAAGGCATCATTGAAAGGAGAGATAATTCTGTGTGGACACCGGACGTAGCTTACCATCCAGAGGCCAATCAGGTGCAACCACATCACCCAATACTGAGCTCAGTACCGAGCTCGCTATGAAGCAGTACCGAGTAAGGGTGATGTGGCACATTTTCATTGGGCTTTGGATGGAGTTCGGCATCCGCATAGAATAATTCATCCATTGAAAGACCGCAAAACACAGCAAACCAAATAAGAAAAACCGAGAATGGCTTAACAGAGGCATTAGAGAGAAAGAAATGAGATGCAACTGAGCTTCAGAAGGAATCTTTACCAACTAAGTTAGCTCTCACCTACTTCTGAAGGAACAGTCAAGAAACAGTTCTTGGAATGATAGGACATCAAAGGATTTTGAAAGGTAATAAAAGAATATTTGTTTTTGATGAAAATGATAGTTTTTCTTTCTTCTTTGGTTTCAGCATGCGTCACTTAGGATTAGATGGAGTCTTTTCAGCACAATTAACAAGACAAAAAAGTTGATTCAATTCATTGAAATGGAAAGAAAACCCCTTTCTTTAGAACAAAAACACATTAGAAATCTCACATCCATCCTGACGGAAAAAAGTTTCAAATTTTATGAACTGTAGAAAGCAGAAAGAGGTTCCTATTGCTCAAACTATGAGAAATTACACAGCAAAAGAACCTTATTCATCGATTTTCTTTCATAGGAATAGCTGAAATGGGCATAATAGAGCTCAAACACTGCCCTTGCCAAGAACTGATTTTGATGCCGAATTATTTATAATCTTAAAAAACAAATAGTAACTATTTAAAGAAAGAATCGAAGAAAAGTTTGAGGATCATTATTGTTTCTATCAACAACAGCAAGCAAACAAATTCCTGCAGTACAGAACAAGGAATAAGAACCAAAAGTATAGTTTTTTTCTCTCTTTTTTTCTTGGGCTTACCTTAGAAATCTCAAGCATTTATCCGGCTTCGATCGAGTGGAAAGAACCGATGCGTTCTTTCCCCGGTTAATCGAATATGTAAGAAAGGTATGACTTCTGAAACTGAAAAAAAAATAATATTAATAAAATAAATGAAAAGATTTCTTCTGCAGCGGACGAGCGCAGGTCGTTTTATTGAAGGGGCGGTAGGTATGGTCACCGCAAAAATCATTAAGATACCCTTCACCGTCTTTTATTTCTCCAGACTTGAAGCAGGAATGTTCACTTGGATTTTTTTTTTTAAGAAAAAATAAATATTTTAATTATTTTGCTCACATTTATTATCCAAATTTGATTCTATTTCTACTTTCAATATAATGAATATCAACTTTTTTACAAAAATCAAACACCAGCTTTGTTAAAGCTAACTATCATATATTAGCAATCATAGCTGTAAAAAATGATTTTTTTTTTCATTTTCAACACAAATTTTTTAAAAAAATAATAAACAAATAATAAGAAAATAATAATCAAATGATACTATAATTGTAATATGAAAAATAGAATTACAATAAAATTATTCAAAACAAACCTTTAATAAAAAACTTAATAATTTTAGGAAAGTATTATTTTTTTTAAATAAGCATAGTTTTAATATAACAAGAATCAATAAATTAAATAAGTTCTTATAATAAATATGGTTTTGAAAAAGAATATATTAATAAAAATGATTTCATTAGTGGAGTGAGGGACCCAATGGGCATGCACATAACTATGAAGGTTAGGTTGGAATCTTTTCCATTTTCACCCATAGAAAAAAATAAATAAATAACAAAGAAAAATCTAAGCAAACAGCTCTTTAAATAAAAAACTATTCTGTGCGGACATCGAATGTCATTCGGAAGTCAATGAGGACGAGTCACGTCATTTTTTGTTGTATACTGGATGACGTGGCGCAATCTGATTCATCTCCGAAAAATCTGATATCCGCACAGAATAATTTCTCCTTGTAAATAGGTGACATAAGAAAAAAGTTAATTACGAGTATTATTTTAAGATTAAGGTGGGGTTAAACAAAAAAGCCAAACATTAATTGGTTTCAAATTATGGTAATCTCACCACATTTCATACCCTGAATGGACCCACAATACATCATGTGGCATGTGATATGACACGTGGCATGCAATGAGACTGTTGCGATGATAGATATTTTAGAGCTTGATAGATTTCATTTTGGATTTATTGTTTCAAGCCAAAAGTGGCCCCTTTTGTGTTGCATGCCCATCCTTTTCTAATTATTATTCTATTTGTTTGATCTTAGTGCATGAAACTATAGAAAATAGTTGCATTATAAATGTGTAATATCTATTCAATTTTATGTAGGAAAAATATGAGATAATTATAATAAAAAAATATAGTGCGAAGGCTCCCACTCTATAAGGATGGAAGATAAAAGGAGATTGTCCGGGTTACATGTATGACTGTAGAGGTCAGACTGAAAACTTTCGAGGTCGTGTATGAAATGCAATTGGTCGCATGGCACGAGGTTGAGGAAATCATGCATGCATTCGATGTTGAAAGAGCTTAAACAACAAGGTGTTATAAGCAAAGTTCAAGATGATGATGGTGATGATAATGATGATAAGATAACAGATGAATATATTTGATTAAGAGGACTTTTTATCAGCTAAAAAAAGAATGTTTAACAAAGTAAACTTATAAACATAAATCTAATAATTTTAAAATTTATTCTAATAAAAATTGATTAATATATTCTTGAGTTGTCTCGTTGGGTGTCTATTTCTTCTCTCAATAACTCTTTCTAATGACTTAAAATCAAAATAAACCCTAAAAAATAAAAATGAAACGGTCCTTTTGATTTTGCTGCATTATTCACACAACATCCCCTCGGACGGTCTTCTTCGGCAACCAGGGGAGTTTTTATCATCTCTTTAGATGATTTTTGATGCCTTCGAGAATTTCAGGAATTTGCATCCTGAGTTCTTTTGATTTTGCTGCATTATTTTTTCTTTTTACCTGCTTTATTTTGTTCAACAGCCTTGGCTGATTTTGTCATTTGCACCACGTTTTTGTGTGTTGGCATATGATTTTCATTTACTTTGTACTCCTTTCATTTTTTAATGATATGGGCTAAGGCTCCAAATATTCCCAAATAATAATAATAATAATAATAATAAGTTGGGCATTGATGTAATTTCCACCCATAGAAGGGTCCCATTACCATGATGGAGAAGACCTCTGTGCATTCATAGCTTTTGTTATTGTCAGTCATCCCTTTACCAAACATTGTTTGTTTATAGCACCCATAAAAGAATATTCAGAAGAATGTCATTGGCTGAAACAGTTTTGTGGTCAAAAAGCTCAAAATGCCCTTATCTGCAAGACTAGTCTTGTGGTGTGCATGATTGGGAGCTCAAGAATTCAGTAAAAGTGGCTCTCTTTTGTGTAAGGGCATATATTCATAAGCACATTAACTTTGCAGACTTTTTTATTTGGGAAATAAATGTTTGAATCCATGTGTGGAAAAAAAGGTCTTTCCGGCATTCTAAACATAACAATTTCATTACATGGATACATAAAAGCAAAAACATGCGGAAAAATTATTCTATGCGGAGACCGGACGCAGAATGTTATCCAGAGACTAACCAGAATGCGACACGTCAGTGGTACCGAGCCGCAGGTACGAACCGCAGTACCGAACCGTGATACCGAACGAAGGGGTGATGTGGCGCATTCTGGTAGCTCTCCAGACAGCGTTCGGTGTCCGCATATAATAATTAATCTAGCCATAGACAATAGAAGAAATCATCATTCAATGAGATTAAACATGAAATCATCATTCATAAGAGAAGAAAGGGGAAGAACAAAATAAAAATCAGTTACACAAAGGGCATATCAACCACATTAACTTTCTTGAGGTTTCTTCATGATTTAGACCTAGATTTCTAGAATATACTAGAAATAATTCAACCAGTTATCTGGCCAGCTTTGTGAAATCAACGAGTAAAGCAAATGGAGACAAAGTTGGCATAATAGATTAGATAAATAATAGAGCACCAAACTATCTTCTTTAGGAGAGATTATTAGGTGCGGAGTGCAGACGAGAAGAACCGTCTGCACACTAGTAAAAAATCCAGCTATGTACCGTTCGGTACCACTGGGTACCACTAGGTACCGCTTGGTACCCTGTATCTGTGCAGACGGTGCTCTCCCCGTCTGCACTCCTCACCTAATAATTATTCCTTCTTTAGAGGAACAAAAAGTAAGAAAAATAAAGCTATGGGGAGAGAAGGGAATCTAGGCATTGGGATTGGTAACAAGCATGAAGAAGCATGAGATTCATGGACCGAGATGAATCATGGCTTCCATGGCTTCTTTTAAGGCATCCTTTGATATGATTTTCTTAATGTTTCTTAAAATGACATTCTAGTACAAAAATTAATTTTTGTACCAAAAAGATGCTTTAAGAGGCAGGAAAAAAAGTTGTCCCAAACAAAGTCTAAGGCTTCGTTTGGGAAAGCTTTTTTAATGAAGCAGCTTTCTTGTAAAAAAAAATTAATTTTTATACTAAAAACTGCTTCAAGAAGCAATAAAAAAGCTGTCCCAAACGAAGCCTAAGGACGGCTTTTTTATTGCTTTATAAAACGGAGTTTTAGTACAAATTTTTTTATTTTTGTACTAAAACTCCGTTTTAAAAAACAATAAAAAAGTCGTTCCAAACGAAGCCTAAATCTAACTTTAAAAAGCTGGTCCAATTCTATTAAGAGGAATTATTTCCCTTACAGCTTAGGTTAAATTCTCATCAAAGATGTCATTCTCAAATGGAGAATGGTAAAAGAGAAAAGTAAAAACAATTGAGCAAAGCATAGATTGCAAAAAGCCACGTCAATAAAAATAAAGATGAGACCTTTTGATTCTGGTGGAGGGAATGGGAGAGCAGAATTTGTACCTATTTTTTTACTTGTACTAGAAATCAAGAAAAGCGGTCTTGGATGGAAAAGATAAGGAATAAGGAGCAGTTGAGGTCACAGAAAAAGAGAAAAAAGGAAGAGAATGTGAATTACTTGGACCATGATTGGAGATTAGATAGCACAAAAAGACTGAATTTTGATACACTGATGTTGATTGTAGAGGGCTAAGTGTGCCGAGCTGGCTCTAATTTGACTCGTTAACGAGCTCACGAGCTGAGCTTATTGAGCAATGAGCTCGAGCTCAAACTCGAACACATTTATTAAACGAGCTCTAGATCGAGATTAATAAAACTTGGCTCGTGAGCTCGCAAGCCAACTCGAATTATTATTAATATTTTTTAAAATAATTTTTATTTATTTGTTAAATTTGAAAATCCCACCTGCACTAGTAAAACTCCCACCTGTGGTTCTAAAATTTCCGCTTGTGGATTTGTGGAACTAGACACAACTCTCCTTGGCCTATTGGTTGAGAGCTTAGGCTTCAAATTAAGAGGTTCAGGGTTCGAGTTTATGTGTATGCGTTGTGTGTGTGAGTTTGCCTTAAATGGCCTAAATGTCCCAAAAAAAAAAAATTGTGGAACTAGGCGGACCACGCTTGTAAGCCTATTGGTGCTCAAAACAAGGAGGACCGCACGCATGTAAGTCTGTTGAAGCTCAAAACTCGAAAGGCGGACGACTGCAAAGGATAGCTCGTTCGCGAAAAACTGATGATGAGTAAGGCAGCCAGGATAGCTGGAAGCTTGTGAGTAGCCTGAGCTCATTTACAATGGGACTAGTCAAGTTTAAACTTGACTCAAGTTTGAGCTAATTTTATAACTGACGAGCAGAGCTCGGTAAGGCCACTATTCGACTCGATTCAACTCATCTACACCCCAAATTGATTGGGGGATTTGACTATGAACAAAAAAAATCTTGAATTCTAGTTTGGCATATAAGCGTTTTGTGTGCGCTTGCCTTAATGAGCCTAAATATCCCAGGGAAAAAAAAAAAAAAAAAGGGACTGAATTTTGATGAGAAATTTGTGCCATTTTTTCTTGAAACAACAACTGCCCATTTCGGAAAAAGCAATAAAATCCAAAAGAAAAAGGCGATGTGAATTTTGAAAAAACAAATAAATGATTAATTTTTAATATTTTTATGGGGCTTTCTGAAACATTTTATCGTGGGAGCAGATTGAAAGAGAGAGTAGCGAGATATCATACAGTGGCGCAGAAAAAATAAATATTTTTTTTATTTATATATACATATGTAAAAATTTAAATTATTTTAAAGAACCTCAACCCTTCCACCACCACCGTAGGGCCTCAGCCTGGCAACCACCGTCAAACCTCCATCCTACCACTGCCCGCAGGTCTCCAGCAAGGGGGAAATTATTGGGTCTGGTCACCGGATATAGCTTACGTTCGGTATTCATAGTATTGAGCTCGATACTATGAAATACTGAGTACCGAGCTTAGTACCGAGTACCGAGCTCGGTACTGCTCAGCACCAAGCTCAGCACCGAAAAGAAGGTGATGTGACATATTTTGATTGGGCTCCAAACACGTCGCGTGACCTAACCCAATATTTTCCCCCCGCAAGGACATCGTGAAGCCCCAAATCTTTACCACAACAAACTTTGCAATTCAGTATCCGCTTTTCCCCAACAGCAAACATGAAAAATATCAGATTGCGAGAACGATGATCGACATGCAAATACAACGAGATTTCATTCATTCCAAGCAGCAGAAATCCGATATGCTTCGGAAGCTTGATTGGAAAAGAAGCAGAGTAAAGCAGAGTATCACAAGAATGAAGAATTTGAACCTTTAAAACTGCGGAAAACCAGTAAGTTTTCTTTTATTCCAAACTTTGTTTCTTTTCTTCCTATATATATATTATTTGACACAGAAAACAACTCACACCACCACTATGGTCCAAATTGTGATATTATTTAACAATATAAAGAGATTATTCTGGACACCGGCCGGTTCAGAGATCAACTAGAACGTGTCATGTCACCCAATATCTAGCATCAATACCAAGCAAAAAAATGACATGTCGCATACTCTAGTTGATCTCTGGACACCGTCCGGATCCGTGCAGAATAATTTTTCAAAAATACGGTAGCAGCGAAGCGGGTTAGATGAAGCCGGCTTAGATGAAGCCACAAATTTCTAAGCATTATTCTAGTCGATAAATGGCCAAATGTAAGCACCTTCAACAAGGTCAAACACTCCAAACTGAAGTTAGTTTACAATGTACGCTTTAAATTTTATTAAATAAGGTTGTCTATTTTAATTTGTTAATACGAAAGTGTGGTATATTGAGTAATATTCACCTACTAAGGAGAGTACTTTTAAAAGTTTCTCTGTCAACCAAAAGAGCAAAAGGACTTTCTCTATTGGTAGTGGAATTCTAATGTCATTTTTGAGATTATTATTTAATGCTCTTGTGTAGAGTTCATCAATTTACTTGTGCTCAAAGTTTATTACTTTCATATAGCATTGATCTATTTATCATCACCATGTTTTAGTTGTGGGAGATAATGGATGATACATATAAAAAAAAATTATAATATCACGTCCACGTCGTACCCCTGTCCTATATTTTCAACAAAAAATATACCGTGTCGTGACGTTTCCATGATGCCGTGTCAGTGTCCGTGCATCATAGGGTCTACCTATACATTTTTTAACATAGCTCAAATCAATATACCTATCTACCTTCTAACCAGATCATCAAAAGGTCAACATTTTATATGACCAAACCATCTAAGGAGACTTTCTCTAATCTTCTATGACACTAGAGCTACTCCAACATTTTCACGTATATACTCATTTCGCATACTAATTTTATGTATTTCTATTATCAATATTTAAAAAAGGATGATGTACATTCCCCTTTTTCTCATCATCAAAATCCATGCTGAGGCTAAGATTTCTAAAGATTGAGCTTCAGGGTAGATGATCTATAAAAAATGTTGCTAGTCATTAAATATTGTCCCATCTTTTAGGCAATGCTGAAAGCAAACTTAAATCATGGATCTCATCATCTCATAGCCACAAACAAGATCAAAACAATTTTTTTTCAATTATTAATCCAATATTTAGAATGAATAGAATATCTCCATCATATTTTCTAGAGATTCAATGGGAGTTTTAACTGAACTACTTAACAAATACTGAATCATGGACTACAGGCTATCCTCCTATTTTATGTGTTTCTTGAAGTAACGCTTGATAAATCAAGAACAACTTGCAATTATTAATTTAAAGTTCATGTAAACGGAAAAAATCAGATTTTTTAGAAGCACAACGAAGCTACAACTTTTTTCAAGAAACAAGATAATTATCTAGTGATGGCTGACCCTTTGCACATCAACAAACTTATAGAGATCCCCACGCCTTTGAATCTGTAATGGGAGGTTGGACCTACAAAAAAAAGATCATGGTCAAATAAAGAATTTATAACTAACACGAAAATTGTGATTGACATTCAGATCTGAAGAAGAGTTGTAAAATTATGATTTTTAGATCTCATCTCCATGCAATGAAAAGGTTCTGATCAAACCTAAAATTCATTGAACTTGATCGAGTGAAAACAAGTTTTTTTATTATTATTTGGTGTGGATTCGATCAAACAAGATCATGATTTTCATTAAATTAGCATAAAAATAATGTCAAAGAAATTTAACTTCCACAACCAAAATTGCTCTTAGGTGAGCATTTTCCAAATGAGATTCAAATTTGAAATAAAGACATTAGTAAAGATCCATATAAATCCAACTTCTCTTCAATTTAATAAAAAATTGTGCTTTCGCTGAATAAATTGTATAGATTACAGTTACCGTATTTGAATATGTTCCTTCAGTTTTTATTACCTTCTCAGTTCTATCAGTGAATAATCAATCTCTTCCACAATGATGGCTTCTTCATGCTCAGTAGTTGCAATGACTTCTCCAAACTGAATAAAAAGAAAGCAAGCAGTTTATGGTTCAAATTTTCCATATACTTCAATGTCTAAGAAATGTGCTTCATATACTTCAATATTACACTTACCGGACCAACAAGAGTGGAGTGGCCCCAAGCAATATATCCAGCACTGGCATCACGAGCTGGGGAGCATGTTGCTACAAATAGCTGAAAATATATATGTAATGAGCTTAAACAAAATATAAAAGACTTAACTTCTATTTCATCAAATTTTCACTAAGAAAGAAGTAAAGAAAAGCAGAACGTCTACTAGTAGTTCTATACTCTGCTCCCTCCGAACAAAGACAGGATGTTCAGAATTGAGGCTCCTCATTGAAGATATTGTGTGAAGTGAGCATGTTACTGTTCCATATCAGCAGAGGGAATTTTTATTGTGTGGAGTCCGCACGTCATCCAGAGACCAACAAAAAAGCGTCACATCATCCCAAAAGTGTACTGAGCACGGTACTGACGCTCGGTACCAAGCGCGGACCGGACGGTTCTCCTGTCCGGTGTCCGCAAAAAATAATCTCTCCAGCATAGGAGAGGCGTGTTGTATAAACAACCATAAGTGCGATGATAATGATGAAATAAAGTACAAAAATTTAAAACAGAAAAAAACGTGGATTGACAAGACTGATTGATCTATTATGTCCACAGCCGAATAAGGAAAACACTCCATAATAACAATTAATGATATGTTATAATTTTCTCTTCCACAACACCCTAAATATTGAAAGAAAATAAAATTGTCAAGCAATAAAATAAGATTCTTGGACGACAAGATATCAAAGAACATAGAAAGTTGTATTCCCTGTTCAGAAAAATAAGACATTCTGATGTAGAACGCGAGGAGGTAGGGGATATAATTTTAAAATCTGAAATTAATTGCATGTTTTGGTGTGAGAGATTTAACAATTTCGAATTTCAAAAAAAGAAGAATAAAGGAGGGAATAGGTAATTAATATTCCCTAATCTTAGGCCGTAAATTAAGGAATAAATAATTAGAGAAGGGAAGAGAAGGTGGGCCGGCCAATGGAGGGAAGAGGGGAGCAACCACATTCAACGTATGTGGATATTTCCATTGAATGTTGATTGATAACTTCAAATTTGAATTAATTTCAGATTTGCATCAATTGAGGATGCTTCTTAAAATAGATGTACTAATTAGGAAAGCATTTGAAATTTGGATATGAGATTAATTAATTAATCAATTTTAGAATTGATTAATTAATTAAATAAAAAAAACTTCTCAAAATTAATATAATTAATGAGGGTGGATTTGAAATTCAAATTAGATTAATTCGAATTTGAAATCTTTCCAAAGTAATGACATCCTAAATAAGGAAAGAGGAGTTTTGGAGGGAAATGATACTAGGCAAAGAGGTGGCCGGCAGGTGGGTGGAGACTTGTTGGATTTCGACCAAGGGGAGGGAGGAGGAAGGGAGGGGCTAGTGTAGGCCGATGGTATGGAGGTGATGGGGTGAGAAGATCGACGTCTTGGTAGAGGGCTTGAGGAGGTGCCAGTTCAGGGAAATAAGAAAAAACAAAACAAAACAAAAAAAAGGAATAGAACCGCGAGTCTTGGACTCTTCCGAAGACTGACGGGTGATGCGTTGCCCTTCACCAAGGAACTTCAAGCCACGAGCCCGGAACCATCCTGCGACTGATGAAACTACGATTCCCTCCATAGGGATTCACAATCGTCCTCCCACAAGAACACAAATGCATAACACAAATTTTTATTATAATTCCATCATACCTAATACATGAGAAGAGGCCTCTATATATAGGAGTAATTATTCCGTCAGGTTACCGAATGCATCAAGAAACCAATAACAAAACGCTACATCACTTAAGTGCTCGGTATCGTGCTCGATACAGCGCGCTCGATACACTCGGTATGCTCGGTATTGCTCGGTATTTTCACAGGATGTAATAATTTCTCCTATAAATAGGTCTCAAAATAAACTATAAGACAAATTTTCCCCTTGGGCTTACATAAGACAAGACTCATAAATAAAAAGGGTAAAAAAAGAAAATTGCAAAATTAAATCAAAATACAATTAATAAACTAAAATAAAACGGAGTGATCTCGGCCGTCGATCTTCGACACTTCCTTTGAATATCGTCCACCGTCGGATGTCCGCATCATTCTCCCGGGGTGGAAAAGAGCTCGACTTCGTCGAATTCGCATCCCGGGCAACCATGCTCTGATACTAAAATGATGTGAAACGTACATGCGAAGATGACTTTCTTAATGAATTTGCACGCTTAATTTTTAGAGCATAATACTTATATCTTTGCATTGATTTTGAACAACAAAAGAAAACACAATGAGCGGTAAGACAAGTTTAGGCTAAATTACATGTATAGAAGTTAAGATCGTAAAATGGCCAATTTAATCTAACAATGCATACATGGAAGGTTTTAACGAGAGTTCCCTATATTAACAACAAGATTAGTCACTATGATAGAATCGCTCACCCAACTCTCTAATTTCTAAAGATTTAGCGGAGAGTAATTAACAAGCTTCTTATTAATCAATTAAATCACACAGTAGGATAACTATGAAGATAAGAGACTAGGGAAAGAGTTCACCATTATCAAGCACTAGGTAGTAGTTGGAAGCCTCATATCAACAACCTCATTAATCTCCAAAATTAGGACAACAATCTAGAATGACTGAGTTCTTGGCAGCAGTTGGGGGCCTTCCCGTTGAAGGTGTGGTGCAGGGGGGGAGCCTGCTGAACTATGTGGACAACAAATTTAGACAACAACTTTGGCAGCTTCTGAGTGGTAGACAGCAAGCGAACCTAACTTGGACTCCTTGGAAAGCAATCAGAAGGCCCTGGACAATAGCTTTCTAGGTCTTAAATCTCAGGGAAACACTTAGAACCAATCCAGATTTCTGGACAGCAAGTGGAAGGAGGGGAAATCAGTGACTTTCCTCTCCGGGTTGCACAGGAACTAAGGGATTTTAGTGGGGAATCTCGTGGGCAGCTGTGGGAGAAAAATTTGGGATCCAGTACTAGCTTAGGTGGCCAATCTAATTAAATTTAGATTAAGTGAAATTGGCAGGATTAATTTGAATTTGAATTCAAATTCAAATTGAGAGAATTAAAGTGGAAGAGAGAAATTGGGGGAGAGGGGAGGCGGCATGGGGAGGTGATTGCGGAGTCTTAATTGGGAGCATTTAATGAAAGTGGAGAGAGAGAAAGAGAGAGAGAGGGAAAAAAATTGTGTCCACGAATGTGGACAAGGTATTAATTGCAAGTGGGAATTAAATATGAGATTTATTTCAGATTTAAGGTGATTTGACGGGATTTAATTTGAATTTTAAATTCAAATTCAAGTGGGATGGAGCCTTAATAGGAAGCAATATGATTTAGCCCATTAATGGGTGGCCGGCGGCATCATGAGGGGAGGGACGAGTATGGGGAAGATTTTAATAAGTTTCCAAACGAGGTTTGCCACATAGGAAAGAGAATAAACAACCCTCTTTAATTTAAAATTAAATCAGATTGAAATTTAAAAACTTTCCTTCTTGGCAAAGTTCCAAATAAGGAAAGTATTTGAAATTTGAATTTCAAATTTCAAACAAGGGTCATTGCTTTCCTTTTCCATGGAGCTAATTTAGGAAGGGAATTATGACGATTGAAATCGTCATAATTGAGGTGGATCCAATGGGGAGGCCGGCGGCAATGGGGGCTTGGGGGATGACATCGGGTGTGAGGAGGGGAGAGTTGATCCGCCAGTTAGAGAGGGGAATTTGGTGCTTTTAGAAGGTAGGATTGGAGTCGGGGTGCATGCAGTGGTGGAGCTCGATAGGAGGGCGGTTGTTGGACGGCGGGTATGGAGAGGAAGGTGGGTAGGGAATATGAAAACTAAAATAAAGAACTAAGAACTCACAAAGAGATCGTAAAACCGCGAACCTTGGACTCCTCCAAAGGTTGACATGTATTGCTTTCACCCACCTAGGGTCTCTCATCCCATGAACTCACTTAGAGATCAAGCAAAGAAAACAAAATTTCATTCCATATTCATCATCCTTCAATACAAGAAAGCTAGCCTATAAATAGGCCTCATGAAAAGAAAAATATCAAAGATTAAAATGTCCCTTCGGGCTACAACACTACTTGATCACTCCTAAGGGTAAAATGGGAAAAACAGTAATATAAGATAAACTAGTACATAAGACATCAAAAATTAAAATAAACTCTAGATCTCAGCCGTTGATCTTCTGATGTCCTCGTCACATTCCCTGACAACACCAAACTTGGGTCCAGTATTAGCACACTTGTTTTGGCAGCATCATGCCTAACTATGACCTCACCAAACTTGGTTACAGCACTAACATACTTGCATCAACGCCACTATGCTTACACTGCATTGAGGTAGTTCATTGCAGACAAAAACAAAAGAACAGAATAATTTTCTATCTTCTCTTTTCTCGCCCTTTCTTTTTTTTCTTTTTCTCATCCGATGTTTTCTTTTTCAGCTCACTCACTCTTTCCCTCTCTCTTCTTCTTTTCAAGCCTTCTCTCTTTTTTCTTTTACATAACACACACCTATGGCGGCTCTCTCTAATGGGTGTCAATATTGCCTCGAATAATATGAATCGAACCTGACACAAATATTTTGAGACAGAGAAAATCATTGTAGGATTTAGTTCGGATTCAGTCAACAATTAAGAGACTTAAAAAATCAATTTGTGTTCAAGATGCTATGGGGCAACCCAAAAATCAAAATCGAACCAATTTAATTAGTAGAATCTTCTTTCTTCTATCAAGAATGCATATCCAATCAAGAACGTAGTGTGACGTTGCCCGAACATCGCCGTTCGTGAAACATACTTCATTGTTGAGTTCAGAATGTCGACAATACCCGGAAATGGCTGTAATATTGCCTGGGTCGTTGCACAAACGAAAGAGGCGAAATTTATCTATGCGCGAGTTGATTGCACACAAATCGAGATGCACAAAAATCGAGAAGAAAACATGAGAGGGTCAATCCACGTCTCTCTTTCATTATAGATAATTAATTTTAGGCTATTTTAATTCCGTTCGCATATAATTTAAATATATATTCAATAAAATATACTTTAAAATAAACAAATCCAAATCCTATCTTCTGCCCAATCTAATCCATGCCCAAATTCCTACAGC